GGAAGGGGGCACCTCTGGTCCTCCATCCTGTCAGACTGCAGACAGACAGAGAGATTGGTCAGTGAAACCCTCCATGACCCCACATGATGACCCTGGTCAGACCCTGCATTTTCCTTTGTTAAACTACACCTATTCCTTGTTCCCTCAGTGCACCTGAAACCAGTTACCAGTGTAATCCTCCAGTGCTGGTTAATGATCAGAGACAGCAGGTTAACAAGACAAAAAACTAGCAGTCCCCAGCAGAGCAGACTATCTATCTACATATCTATCTATCTGTAACCTCTTCCTTGCTCCTACCTGTTCTTTTATCCTTCCTGTATCCTATATACTGTACCTACCTTGTATCCAGTTTATTCTTGTACCCTGTTCTTACTTGTTCGTTTACCCTGAACCTTTACAGTTGGCAACATGAACAAGGGCTGTAAAAACCACAGTAACAAGCAGGTTTCTAAACCAGGGTACAGGCAGGTTGTCACAGCCTGCTCTGCCTTCCCCTGCGGCTTCAGTAATTTTCCCCCTCCCCCACCTCTGTCTCACTCCGACCACCAGCCACACCTACCTCATCAGTTACACCTTGGGCTCCCAGCTGCATCTCATCGCTCATTAAGCCAGTATATATGCATCCCCGGTTCATTCACTCATTGCCAGATTGTTCTTTGTACCCATGCAAGAATTTCCAGTGGTTGTCTCTGGACTGACTTCCTGGTATCGACTCCACTCGTCCCTGACCATCTTGCCTCGTCTCTGCTCTGGTAAACGCCTCAGCCTTCTGTCCCCAATCACAAGTTCTGCCTGTGCTCTTCCTGGTTACTGTCTGCCTGTGCCTGTGGCTGTTTGGCGTTCTCCAGCTCTGACGTTGCAGTGGTTGTCTTGTGAGTACCCCTGCTGGTTTCCTGATCCTTTGTCTGACTCCGATTACCTGCCTGCCTGCTCCTTCCTGGTTCGACTGCCCCACTGACTGCTCACCTGGTTCTGATCCTCCTGCACCCTTGACTATGTCTCCAGCCTGCTCCCTAACAGTACCGTTGGTGCCTGGTGAACTTTCCCCAGTGTGTGCGAGTTCAGGCACCTCGATCCACGCACCTGACTCACGACTCTCCAGCCCCGGCCCCCGGGTCCACCCCAAACCCCAAGAGATTTGTCCTGTGTAGTAACCTGAACTATACTATTGTGCATCTGCTCCCCCTCATTCCAGCAAATAAAAGTCATTACCAATCTTACCTGTGGTGTTTTGTGCTGCAGTTGGGTCCTACCAACACCTGTTACACGCGTACGGGGTAAAGGGTGCCTGTTTAATACCAACTGATTCCAGTTACATTCATGTAATCCAACCTGGTGGTCTAGATTCTTGTCTCCTGCTTGTTTCTGAACTAAAATTGTCACTTTTGTGCCTCAAACCAAATGAGGTTTGTTTATTGAACTCTGGGAATTTAACCTGAGACACTGAAGACAGACATGAGTGTAATTACCTTTTTAGCCCTAAAAACGGACTTTATTAACACACAATATTTACATGTGACATGTTACCTGGTAGTGTATTAACATGTAGTAGAAGTCCAAAACGGGCAGGTGGGGCTGGTCGGGGCTGCAGGCCCCACACAGAGCAGCCGATCCTGGATCAGGAAGCAGACTGATGCTGGCTCTCTGGTCATCCAGTCTCTGACTCTGTGACTCCAGAATCAGATCTAACAAGGCCTCCGACTCCTCCTGCTGGCTGCTCCTGTGCTACAACAAGGAACAGTCAGGTTTATTAGAGAGTGAAGAGTTACTGGGTCCACGTTCTCATTTTCAGTGTTGGTGACTGAAACCACCACAGACTGAAACAATAATTCAGGGGAGCGTGTCTATGTTCCCACAGCTCTATGTTAAGAAATATGGGACCATAGGGTTTCCTTCTGAGAAAAATCTTAGGCCTTGTCCACATTAACCCGGGTAAATATAAAAATGCACATTCACAATGAAAACGATCTCCATCCACACTAATCGTTTTTAGAACGCTTTGCATCCACGCTCCGCGGCGTCTTCACATTTATCCACCTCAGCGATCGTTTTTGTAAAGCTTCGTTTTCAGTTTCGGAATTCACCGTTCTAATGTGGACGGAAGGGCTAACCGGATAAATATTACCCGGGTTAGTGTGGACATGGGCTTATGGGAACATATAAGACTGTGGGAAAATAGAGCCTAATTTTCAAAACATTCTTAGAAATGTGGGAACATAGGGCTGACCCCAATTCAGGCCACCCTCACAAACCATCAGACCTCATCAGGCAACCCCCTGTTTGTTTATGTAAGTGGTGTCAGACTAGTTCTAGATTTGGCTGCTGTGTTCATCTGAGAGGAAAATGATCCAGATTAGTAAAGACAAAAGTTTGTGACTGAGCAACAAATATGAGAAACATTTAATTTATAAACTTCATTTTTAAAACAAAAAAAACATTTTAGAGCAAAAGATGCGCTTCTGCGTTGAAAGAATGAATCCATGTTCTTCTGACTTCACTCCACTAATAAACGTTCGTCACATGTTGAAACCTGATTGATCAGCACTTTAAAAATCTGTGTTTAGAACTACAGGTGTTACTGTTGCAGCAGGGGAGACTTACCTTGCTCCTGTTAGCAATAGTTCTGGTGCTGGAGCTCAGGGCAGAACCAAGGCTCTGACTTTGGGGTCTGGTGGCGCTGGAGCTGCATTCAGGACCAGACCCTAGAACAGGAGTCACAAGACCCCCAAGGGTCCTGAGGGGTGAGGTGGAGACTGAGGTCCTGCTGCTGGGAGCAGTGTGCGCCTTGGGAAGAGGACTGGAGTCCCTGGGACTGTGGCGTCCCAGTTCTGCATCCATACCACCATTCTGGTGAGGGGTGGGAGAACTTTTGGGAACTACTCCCGCAATCCTGCCATTCTGATGAGAAGGTAAACCAGAGAGCTCTTTGTCAGCCATGATGGAGCTGTTAGTGTGTGGGCAGGGCCAATGTTGGTGATGTCATCAATGGGAGGGTCTAAACCTACACAAGAGAATATAGTAGAACAGGAAATGAGAGGCAAAGTTACAGATCAGGTAACTGTAATTCAACCACAGCTCTGTAGTCTACACTGGAGAACAGCTGTAGCCCCCTGCCACACCTGGATAGTCTTCATGGAGACCAAGGGGAAGCAGAAAAGTCTCCATTTTTGGTGCTCGAAAACTGAGGAGTTGTGTGGACGTGAGGAGGAAACATGAAGGTATTTTTGGTGCAAAACAACTGAGCACCTGTGATAGTGGAAGTAGTAGTTGTATAAAATAGTCACTGTAGCAAAAAATTTGAGTGTATGAGTTTCTTAATGCAATGAAGGATTTGAGGTGTAACAGTTGTGTTGTGTTTGTGGGAGAGAAAAAATCTACAAGTGTGCAACTCCTCAAGCATCTTTTCTCTGTGACCTCAAATTTACTGACACATGACTGTTTAATACAACTACTAATTCCACTGTCACAGGTGCTCAGTTGTTTTGCACCAAAAATACCTCCATAGAAACTTAGCAAAAGAGATGCTTTTTAAAATATAACATAGTCGTGTGAATGGAGCCAAGGAAAGCAGCTGGTCTCTCTGAGACCTGTGACACTGGTCCCAGTCCAGAAAAAGCTCCAGGACCCTGATTGGACCTGCAGTGGTGAGCTGCAGAACATGGACCCATTCAAATGGATGTGAAGGGTACATGTAAGACCTGGACCAGATCCTGTCTGTTCAGGACCGGAGTTAATGTTCCTCAGTGTGGCCATAGAGACACAAACTGAGGAGCAAACAGTGAGCAGGCTAGTCTCAGTCCTGGTCTCCGGAGACCAGCTCTGGTCTGGAGTCATTCAGCTTCAGCAGAAGTAGGTCAACAACACAAAAGCTCAGTCTAATCACACACACACACACACACACACACACACACACACACACACACACACACACACACACACGGTGGCACTGTGTCCCTGGTCTTTTAAATGTTAGCGTCTCTTCAGCTCCACCTGGTGGCTGTCAGAGAAAACGACACAGACAGTTTGTAATGACACAGAAACTCGTCAGCTTCAAAACTTCAGTCTCAACAGACGACTCTCAAAGTTTCACTTCTCTTAGTTTCTCTGAAAAAAACTCTTTGTCTACCAAAACAAAAACAACAAGACGACAAATTACGTTTGAATAAACATTTTTCTGTCTGAGTTACCTCAACGTCCCAATGCTCTCTCCTCGTCTCCTCGTCTTCAGCTGCTTTTCTCTTCTCTTTCTTTCCTTCGCTCTCGTCTTGTTCAGTGAAATCTCTCTATCAGCTGGTCGACGCTCACACACACTGAGACACACACACACACACACACACACACTGAAACACAATGAAAGAGAAAGAGGGCAAACTCCCCCTCTGGGCTTTCATCACAGTTACCATAGTAACCAAAGAGAGGCTCCAAATCCTGCCTCCCTCTGTCCAAACACACACACACACATTCCTGCATTGTTGAGGTCCATTCAGTCGAAGTTAGAGAATGCTGCTCTTCTGCTGTGGGCCTCACAAATACACACACGCGCGCACACAAACACACACACACACACACACACACACACACACACACACACACACACACACACACAGATCTATGTGTGTTCAGCAGAGTGGACTCAGTCACAAGTACTAACTTTGTGCAGTTAGTGTGTCACAATAAAAGTACTTCCTGTGCAGTAAACTGTCTCCTGTGAGTATCAAAGTGCAGCACTGTTGAAACCACAGAAGAAGACACAGATGATGTCACACTCCATAGTTCGTTAGCCTCATTAGCACAAAAACAACAGAAATAAATAAAGGTGTTACCAAGGCAACGGCTCAATCCACCTGATGCTGCTGTCAGTCATCCAGACACCATCACTCTGCTGCCGCAAAGATAGATAGATCTGCTGACAAGAAAACAGCAAAGGAGAATAAGAACAAGAGGCAAGAAGAAGAAAGAGAAGGGGACGAGAGACAACAAGAGAAGAAGAGAGGAAGAAGATGAACAGCAGAGAAGTGAAGGAATACCTGTCTCACCACCTCGTCCCTCAGTTGCTGGAGGTGAGACAGTTTTAGTTTGGGTGTGATTTTTTTTTCTTATCAATAGACAAGTGCTTTAAGGTGAAAACAGGCCCAAAGGACAATGGGCATACATGTCCCACACTGTAGGAGCAGCTGAACAGCAGGGGGTACGGTTGTTCTGTCAAACCTGACATACCTGTATAAACAACAGCTGATAAGACACGTCACAGCAACATCACATGACTCTTTTGAGTCTTCTGAGGAAGACAGCAATTGAAACATGTCAAGGTAAAAAACACCTTAAAGCACTTGTCTATCGATAAGAAAAAAGTATAAATAAGTGCAGTGGAGACAAGATGAACCTTTCTGGAATAGTACAGGTGTGAGCTGCTCTGTTGTGATGATAATCAAACAGGAGATCCTGATACACTATCAAACACTGTTTTATAAGATTATAGTGTAATTATCATTTACAGTCAGATCAGATTGGGAACATGATACAGTCAGACTGTGTTCTTCTGTAACCCTAACATTCACATTTACATTTTTTACATTTACAGACAGACTGTGAGACAGACAGACAGGCAGACAGACAAACAGATAGACAGGCAATGAGAAAGTCTGACTGTATCTGTCTCTCAGAGTCTGTTGACAGGTCTTCTGTATCATTGTCCTGACAACCCTGTCAGTTTTCTGCATGGCTGCCTGATCAGGACTAGACAGCTGGGGGGTCCTGAGGCCATCACCTGGGACACCTTCATCCACCTGGACAGAGACGAACTGAGACCTGGACCCCCAAGAACATCAACCTCCCCTGTAACACCCTCTGTGTCCCTGTTACCCCCTTTAATTCCCCAAGTGCCCCCAACATCGACGGTTGCCCAACTCACACAATGACCCTCCATTAAACCCAACACATCTGTTGTAGCCCCACTGACACCATCAGTTTCCTCTGGACCCACCAAAACAACTGTTGAACCCAGAGTCCTCCTTCCTGCTCCACCTGAACCTGCAGGAACTCAACCTGCCTCCCAACTAGTCCCGCCTCCTGTCCAGACTGAGTCGAAGGAAGAAGACACAAAGACTGGCAGTTCAGAGGGTAAGAGCCTCCTCTGGTCGAAGTAAAAACATGAATTCAGGGTCCAGACAGTTACAGGAGACGTCTGCAGATCAACTCTGGGATGAGATTTAGTGTTAGAGAAGAAGAGTGTGACTCCAAAGCTTCATCATCGTCTTTTATTTTCCCGTTTGCTGAACCTGCCCCCACCACCCATCCCAACTCCTCCTCCTCCTCCTGGTCTTTCTCGTTCTCCAGTCTGGTCTCAGCTCTCCATAGACTCGGACTCTGACATGACGGAGAGTTCTGGACTCCTGCAGGAAGTCAGCATCCTCCCTCCTCAGAGACCACGCCCCGTCATCATCTTCATCATTGGTGAGAGAACAAAACACATAACCAGTACAAACCAGAACCAGTTAGAGGTCTGAACCTGGGCCATGAACCTGGGTCATGACTCTGGATCTTTCATGTCCACAGGTGGGCCAGGAAGTGGGAAGGGAAGTCAGACAGCAAGGTTAGTTCGCTGCTTCTGCCTCAGAGCCGTTTCATTGGACGATCTGCTCAGGAAGCAGCTGCTAAGCCACGCCTCCCCCAGCAGGAAGTGGGAGGTTATTTCAGAAATGATGAGTCACAGAGAGCTGGCAACACAGGTGAGTCCATCTAAACCTGAACCTGAACCTAAACCTGAATATGAATATGAACCTGAACCTGAACCTGAACCCATCCCTGACTGTAAATGAACCTGTGCTTACAGGAGAAGACGATCTCAGAGCTGAGGAGGCAGCTGATTGGTCAGAGGGAGGTCAGAGGGGTTGTTGTGGATGGATTCCCTCAAGACGTCCACCAGGCTCTTAGCTTTCAGGAGCAGGTACCGACCAAACAGATAGCATAGAAAAACAAACAGACAGGCAGACAACAGGTAGCTAACTCAGTTTGGGGTTCACCAATCAACTCTGCAGGGGCTCCACACAACGGGCCAGCTCCAGTGGGAAACTAATTAACTTAATTAAGTGAGTAATTAATACACAGTAACAAACAGATGATGTATGTTTGTAGTGAAGTCAGCTTCCCCCTGGTTCCCTCCATAAACAGCCAATTTGATTATTATAGAAAGTAATCATCCATTTCTGATCCTGACAGATTTAGTTCAGCAGGATCATCTTTGCTAATGAACATCTATGATGTTTGAAGCCTCAATACAATCAGAAGTAAACAGCTAATGTTAGCTTATAAACCAATAACACCAGGGTCACATGACTTCAGCGTCTCCTCCACTAAACTTCAGCTCGTAGTTTGATTCAGCTCTGACTCTTCTACTGAAGCTTTTCCTCCGACAGAGTTAGAGACAGTTTGTAGAGACACAACCAGGCTGTAAAGGTGGACTGGAGAGTTAACCAGGCTGTAAAGGTGGACCGGAGAGTTAACCGGCTGTAAAGGTGGACCGGTGAGTTAACCGGCTGTAAAGGTGGACTGGAGAGTTAACCAGGCTGTAAAGGTGGACCGGTCAGTAAAACAGTGGAAACATTAAACCCGCTCCCTCCCTGTGATCAGATTGGCTCTCCTGACCTGGTGATGCTGCAGCTCTGCTCCAATGAGACTGTAGCAGGGCAGTATTGTGAATAGGAAGTGACATCACACACAAGAGGAGGGAGGAGAGCCGTTACAAATGAGAGACACACTGAACTGCGAAAAAAAAAAAAAAGCTCAAAACAAAGGAGAAACCCCAAAGGAGGCTGAAGCAGAAACAGTGAGAGGACTCATGTTGACGAAGTGCAGAAAAGGAAAATGAAGGAAAAGAAACCAGTACGGGAATCTGGAACTGAAAAATCTGAAGTAAAACTGGAGGTGGAAAAGAAACACAAAAGAATAGGGAACAAAGGAATGCGGTTTAAGGAGAGCAGGATTGAGCTCGGGGAACAGGCGACATCTCAGGCCCGGTTTGGATCTCAGCAAAAACACCTCTCTCTGATCCAGGTTCAAAAGGCCGCAACTCCTTTCAAAGATAAGTCCCTTCACCCCTCATCTCCAGGCTCTCCAGCTGACTGCTCAACTCACCTGCCCCTCACATGCACACACACACTTATACTCATCCTCAAAACCCCCACTGACATTCCATTCATTCATTCATTCAATTGCATTCATTCTTTCCTACACCCTCTCACCCCATCCTCATATACCCAACCCACAAGGCCTCCTAGAACTGAACTGAACTGAACTGAAATGAACTGCAACTGAACTGAAATGAACTGAACTAGAAAACTGAACTGAAACTGAAATGCAAACTGAAATGAACTGCACTGAATGTGAACTCCTTCCACCTAAACTGAGCTAAACTGCTAGCCTGTTGATTATAGTTATTATGAGCGCCGATTACGGACACGTGAATTTTAATTCTGTGATTTGATATTTAATTTCTGTAAAATTGATTTCTAAAGACCAGTATTAAATGATTTAATTAACGATTGATGATGAATTTGTTTTTGTTGCTGACTGATTACTTTAAAGAAACCAGTATTAATGATTAATTTGAAATAGGATGATGATATTTGTTTGTGGTTGCTGGACTTATTTAAATATATGAATAGTTGAGGGACACCTGGTTATGTGATTTTTTGTAGCCCTGAAGTAGCGAGCAGCTGGGGTTTTGTGCTCTCTCTAAAGGGAATTAACTATAAATATTTAAATATTGATAGGTTTAAGATCGATTAAACTCTTGCCTGTCTTGGCGCCCAACCTTATTCTTATTTATAGAGAGCAGCTTCTACGCTTACAGAAATGGCGCCCAACGTGGGCCCTGAGCTTTTGCTTTTAATTACTCTGAACTTAACCCGCTAAGCTTAATTTGTCTCCTATCCTTTTGTATCTGTTTGGGGGGTAAATTTTGAAGTGAAGTGCCTTTGCTATCTACTATGGTTATGTGTTTTTATGCTTCGAACTGTTAATGTGTGTTGTTTGGGACTTTTGACCTTTAAGTGCTGTATTCTGTTTGGGACCTTTGATTACTCACTCTCACATTTATGGCTCACACACAACACTCCCCAACATCACCCTCTGTTACTCTGGAAATGGAAGCTCCAGATTGTTTCCAACTCCTTTTATCTCTATGGTTCAACGCTCTGGAGTTTGGGGCCCCACCTACAGACTTATTTCCTCACTTCCTAAGTCAAGCCTCAGGCTCATAATACTCTGAGGTCCATGAAACCCACAGATCCTTTCCCCCTTGGAAATCTTCCCTCGTTAATCAATCTCTTGCTTGCGGAAACGGAGGATGGGGCTCCTTTACATGATCCAGGAGGTTGGAGCTTTTAAACCTCACAGCTTACTTTCTCCTTTACTCTGCATCCCAGTTCAGTATGAACTCCACGGGCGATCCTACTCCTGCTCGGGATCTGCATCAACTGGTAGGACAAAAACACAAAAAGGTTGGGAAAAGATTGTACCACCAAGTGATAAAAAGAGCAAGGCGTGGCTATTAAAGCCGCTAAACAACATCCCTAGAGAAGTCAAAAAATATTTCGAAGGAACAATTTAAGCATCTTCTTGGGGATAAAATTGAGTGGAAAATCATCGGGAACTTTTTTGCCATGATTTAAAACACATAAAGAAGGTACAGAAACTGAAATGGATAAAGCTGGTAAAGGGAATCAAAAACAGAATGATGAAGAGGAGTCAACACTCTGAAACTTCACTTGCTGTCAGAGAATTCGATTCATGGTGGAACAGCTACAAGTAGAGATCAACAGCGAGACTTAAAGGCTATCACACTGCTATTTCAAAGGAAGTATTTAGCAGGCTATCCCAAATATAGTTGAAGCTAGTAGTGAAAACTAAACGCAGCTCCGATGACGACCACACAGCATCAGGACAGTGGAGAGGGAAGAAAAGAACATTACAATTCTCAATAAGAAGACTTCTGATTTGGAAAGTAAGCTGGAAAAACTTTCAGGGGAGTAGCTTTATCCTCCCCCGGGTCTTCTGGTCGACGTGACGGTCGGCAAGTAAAATCATTCATCAGCCGTCTGGCTATAAAACCCCAACATGATAAAAAGTGATCATATTAGGTTGACTTTTCCCCTTACCTATGCGTGGACCACCACCTGACGATTCCAGACCCCCTTAAGTTATCTGTCCAAGTTGCCATGATTTTTCGTGCGCTCTACATTCCTTTAGGCTGATGCTGATATTCTGGCAACTTATCAGGACTGTTCTCTATGGTAACTGCTCGGGGATTGCGTTGGGAAGATCGCTAGATCAGAGGTCACTACCTGGAGTCAGTTTGAAAACTGTTCTTCCTGTCTGCTTTCCTTTCAGAAGACTACGAGAGAACTTGCTGAACGTGTCAGGAAACTGCTAGACAGAAAGAGGAATGAATTCCATAAAGAGACTTTGCTTTCTCTATAGAGCCCTTTGTAAAGGTGGAACCCGTCTCTCCACAGAGGCTACATCGTCAAGATGATCTTGAAAAAACATTCAAACCTTCTTCTTGCTAGTCAGCGTCAGGGGGACGGGTTTCACACTGTTGAAAGTTGGTGCGCTTGGTCATTCAGTTTGAAAGAGACCCAAACCAGCCAACTTGAATACAATCAAGCAAATGAGAACTCGAAATGTTCCACCCCATCATCACAAAAACCTTGCCTTTTCTCATCCTAATGCACAAACCCAAATCCTCTGTCATTGGTGTTGGAGATGTTAACGCGGGAGACCACGCCTCCTGCTCTTGCCCCCCATTACAGTTCCCCTGAGCTGCCAATCACCTACTCCTTTTCGGCAGCAGGGGCCGCCAAAAACAAACCTCCCACGGGATTCGAAGCAAAAGGGTAAATCTGGTAATGGTTCCATGTAACATATATGAAATCAAAGAGAAAAACAGTTTCAAGCCAAAAGCCCAACATGTTACCAAAAGCATCTATATCAGAGACTTCTAATCCTCGGATACTCTGGAGTCCACCTCCAAGTCCTCAACAAATGGTTTGTCCCGTTTTCATTGGTACATGGCGTGGGAAAGGCCATAAGTCGATACAGGGGCCAGCTATACTCTAATGCATGAGGATCTGTGGGTGAGTTAAAGAGGTTCAAAAAAAAAATGACCTCCAACCCCATGCGACAGGGAGATCCCTTGTATTTGCTAATGGTGAAGCTTGCCATCCCACTTGGTGGGGAGACATTTGTCGATGACCTTCAGGGTTAGAGTATCCACTCTCCTGTTGCTGTACTTGGCACGAAGAAGCTCTAGCATTATTATGGTATGGTTTCTTGGCCTTGATTCATCTCTAATGTGAAAAGATAAATTCAATGTCGACTGATTAAAGTTTACCAGTTTTCTGTCCACTCCATCTGTGACTATCCATTCCAGCCCAGGCAGTGCGCTTCATTCCTCAGAAAAACCCCCCTGAATCAAATCCAAAAATCTCAGGTGACAAAAATCCCGTCCAAGGTCAAACTCTTTCATTCTGATAAGCTCCATTCCACCTCCCATTCTCATATTGGAAACCTGTAGCGACTGGAAGCCAAAAGATTTTACATTAATAAAAGGGGGCTGGTCTGATGCTCATTTACGAGAGGAAAAAAGAAACAAGCTATGGCAGCTTCCTGCAGCGCAACCCACAGCGTCTGTACAAAATCAGCCTGGAAGAACTTGATGTTGTGCAAACACACTATCTACTCCACTAGCTGTGTACCAATCAAACAGAGACCTTACGGATGTACTGCTGCCAAACAAGCAATTGTAGAGGAAACAGTTAAGGATATGCGTCGCCTCTTGGAGTTATTGAACCTCCCATTCTGGGTGGGCCCTCTCAGTAGTTCTGCCTCCGAAGAAAGGATGGCCGGTCACAGATTTTGTGTGACTTCCGGAAGGTCAATTTCTGTCACTGACACTGATGCCTATCCGCTCCCTAACATCAATGAGATTCCTTGAGTCACTTTCTGCGGTCCTCTTTTTCTTCCACAATTGATTTAAACAGTGGGTTTACTGGCGTTACCAATGGACCCTGACAGGCCCCAAAGCAAAAACTGCCTTTGTCACCTCATGCTGGACTGTACCATTTCAATGTCATGCCTTTTGGTTTCTCAAAAAATGCACCAGCCACTTTTCAAAGGCTGATGGAGATCATTCTGGGGACAGCTGAAGGGTGACATATTGTCTAGTCTATTCTAGATGACTCATTTGTGTATTCATCCTTCTGTAGCTCAACATTTCGAACGGTGCAAGCTGTGCTGGATCGACTACATAAAGCCCACTTAACCATCAATCTGAAAAATCAAAATTTTGTCTAACAGAAAAAAATCCGATTTCTGGCGTCACATTGTCTCTGAAAAGGAGCTAACTGCTCTGATCCTTTATAAAGTGGGGGCCATCAGAGCCTACCCAGCTCCTAAAAACCTTAAGGAAGTCCAGAGATCCTAGGGACTTTGCTGGCGTTGGTATCACAAATTGTGCCCAACTTCTCAAAAATAGCCTGTCTTTGAAATGACTTAAAGAAAAGGAGCCCTTTCGTGTTGGAGTAAAACATGGTCAACATGCTTTTGGATCAGCTTTGAAGTTTTTGTCTGAATCTCTTGTCCCCCTATCTTAGGTCATCCCAACCCAAGACTTTGCCATTTTGTGTGGTAAACTGACCGCC